CCTAACCGGAGTCAAACGCGTTTTTTTTTCGATTGGATCGATCCCCCCCCTCTCATCACCTGATCTCATAACTGATTTTCTCTCCGTCTAATCTTTAACCATTCTAGTCTGTTTTATCACCACAGTGTCATTCTATTTTGTTTGTTTTTTTCGCTTCCGTCTTTTTTGGTCAGTCCTTTTTGGTGCAATATCTAGTGGTGTAGACACATTTGACATGCAATATATACATACATATGCATATACATTTATATGTATACACAGCTAACTCCACAAAACATAACATCATTCATCAATGTCGCCTCTATCATTTAAAGTCATATTTTCTACTCTTTCTTGTGCAACAAATTGTTGTTTCACAATCCAGTCGCTTTTTCTGGGGCTATATGTCATTCGAGGTGTTGGTCAATATGTGGTCACGTGATGTGATTTCTGTGACTGTACCAAGTCCTGTCAGTGTGACAGCTGGTCGCACTGCTCCCGACCAACTGGTTGAGTGTTGAATCACTGACCGAGAGTTCGAGGTTTCGAAGCTCTCTCTGTTTCGTCAGATGCGGAGTGCTGGTAGTTTCCGACAAGGATGAAACGATTGTACAGTGCTCCTCGGTTTTCAGCACAGATTTGCTTTGCTTACGGGACGGAGTCTCGTCCAGGTGAAAGCACGTCCGGGGCCACAAAGTGGCCGAATTCTTCCTCCACGAGTGTACTGGCCGGGGTGGAGGTAATAACAAAACTATTCCATGCTTTCTCCAGAATCATTTGGTTTTCAGCTGTTTTCGGATATTTTAGTGTGCTTTTAATGGTACCTACCAGATTAATCTCATCGTCCTTATGGTGAATACTGGTGTTTAACTGTTGAAGCTGATTAGTCTGCCTCGTCCTCCTACCAGCCCTTGTGGTCTACATCACTGTGCGACTTAGCTGGACTCCTGTAAGTGCCCCATCACCACCTAACTTAACAGGGAATACGAGGATGCTCACTGGGAGCTCGCGCACTGTCGGTTGGGCGCTTTCTTCAAAGGTATCGCCTTCACTGTAATCGACATCATGGCATCCGCGTTCAACAGAGATGCTTGGCTGTCTTCAGTGCGTAGCTACCCAGTTCCTTTCAGGAACTGAACATCCCATCGCCTACAAGGCTTGACTGTAGGCCCCACAATCTCCCACTTTCCAGTGATGGAAACTGTAGCAGCTGAAACTAATGTGCCTTCGGTACAACGTTTGTAGCTGGGTGTATATGGGGTTTTCGTGCGCCCCTGTATCCGTGTTTCAGGTTTACCGCCCTGCCACTGTTATGCGCCTATTTTAGGCTTAAGTACACGCCACACGAAGCCTAGTCCAGCCAGTCGTTTATTAGTAGTTTTTACGACGTCAATTGTCTAATATATGATTCGGCAACACGGATCACTACCATTGTAGTATTCAATATTGGTGAGTAAACAGAAGTCGTCCGGATGCAGCACTCTTTCGGTGCCTAGCTGCCATGCCACCCGAAGGTTGCACGAGGGCTGGGATACTGCCAGGTTGCCCAACCTTCGACAGGGTAAGCTGAGAGGCGGAGGTTGGGCTCGAATCACGAACCTTTCGGTCAGTAAATTTGTGCTAGCCATCTCGAGTAAATGAGTTTTCTGAGGGACGTAACATTGTTTCTTCTTCTGGCCTCAGAGGGTTTTTCCTTGATGGGAGCACTCGCGACGAGAAATTTTCCGCCACCAAGGCTGTTCCCCGCCGTGGATGAAAACCGTATTTACATATGTATACACATCCCGGGCTACTTATCATACATATCATATAGACAGTCGTTAACCGTGTGGTGTTGAAATTCACTGGTGGGAGGGGTTGGGATCGGTGCACTGGTCTGCTATTTTTCGTTAATTATCCATCATTTGAAAGTAAGCCCTCTTTACAAATGTTCCGGATTTTTTGCAAGAATTTAGCACAAGTGATGTCTCCGGCGTGGACCCGGTGCGGTCACTTATATCCTGAAAAGAACATTTAATGCTCCTTTGGTTTGCATCTCTGCATTTGATTCCCAAGGATCCGTAGAGCGGAAATCACGACTTTTTTCTGGAGAAACCGTATAGTGTTCGTTCGATATTTTACAGTAAAAAAACGGAATTTCTATGGCCGTCTCCGGTAGGGGACTTCAGTTGTCCAGTTTGTACCATAACTTACCTTCTACATAAAGTCCATCTGTGCCATTTTCGGGGACCACCTCTTCAAAAAAAAACGCGGCTGTTGAAATTCCCGTCGAACTCCAGACGTTTGGAATGATTGTCTGCTTGTGACGGAAGATGAGGATCAATCGCATAAGGCATTTAGTTTGCTTATTTTATTTACTCTTAAGAAGCAGGCCAATCGTCTGGGGGGAACAGAAAGTCTCTTATCCGGTTTTTTTTATACAGAGATTGGTTAAAATGAAAAAATACCTGTGACCAACGTATCCTCAGAAGAGACCACTTCACAGCGGTTCCCTGAGGTGGCTGCTCCACAGGGAAGCTGGTTAATGTTGTGCGCGTGTTGGCACCTTGTCTACTAAGCCATTAAACGAATGATCAACTATCCAGCCTGGGCTACTGGTTCCCTGTGGTGGCTGCTCCACAGGGAAACTGGTTAATGTTTTGCGCGTCTGACCCCCGCTGTAACCAGATCTTGCGCCGCGCATTTTGCGCTGTCCTACGAAGGCACGTTCAGACGGAACCCTGGGACTAGCAAGCTAGATTACGGCCAAGATAGGGGTGTGTGGGCCTCACATCTTCACAATCTGTCAAGTGCTAGAACAACAGCATGCGTATGGACGCCCTACAATCTTGGTGTTCTTTGACTTCAAGAATGCGTCCGATTCTGTGGACCGGTCCGTTTTCTTCAACACGCTTGCGGAGCATGGCATGTCCCAGACGTTTGTGAATATCTTGCGTTGTATGCAAATAAATGTGGGCGTGTGTGGGGAGCCTTCCAAAAGCGTTCCTACAAACAGCGACCTCCATTTTTGTTTGATTTTTTTATCGATGCAATAATGAGGTGAGCATCGGAAGGTCCCCAAGAAACTTGCGTTGTTCACGCCTCTCCGAGAGAAAAACTTGTCTACCACCTGGAACATATACAGATGACATTGGTTTCATTTTTAAAAAAAATTGGAAACTCAGTCAGCACTAGAAATGCTGACCAAAGTCATGGACTCCTTCGGCATACGTTCCGCGCCCACAAAGTACAGTGATACTGCAATAAGTCTTCGAACATACGTTTGAAAATTTAAGGAGTGACGCTGAGGGTTGTGGAACGCTGTTTGTGGCTGTGACTGTAGTGTGATGGACGGAGTGGACGCACAAATCTCAAATGCCAGAATCGTGTCTACCAAAGAACACGTGTGTCAGGCTACAATGCGGGTTGTATTTTTGCCTAGGTGCGAGACTTGACCAGTTTGGGTTAGAGGCGTCTTCAGGTCTTTGACCATCGGTGTCCCAGATATATCTCTGGAATTGGCTGGGATCAGCGAATTCCCAATAAGCGGATGAGGAGTTGGGTTATTGTGAAACAGAAAGCACATCCAGCATTAAAGGTTAAGATGACTGGACCATACGTTACGCCAGTTGAGTTCTGCTTGCCTACAAGAGCGCTGTTTTCCGCGCCCAATTCGGAGTGGCGGAAATCAATAGGTGGACAAGGTCTGACAAGGCAGAATACAATAAAAGATGTTACGAAAATTTTGGCACTGCCTACTCTGCAGCACGGGGTCTAAGTGACCCTCTTTGCTTGCTTGGAAACATTGAGCGACATGGCACCTAAACGATGTCAGTGGATCCCGTGCTGTTAGTTCCTATCCAGATTGTCTGATTGGGTGTTGGGGTGTAGGCACCCCGAAGGTTTTTTCTGTAGGCCAACTGTTGTGTCTTGGTGGACAGTAGTGCAACTCGGTATCGGTCCCTTGCTTCCTGCTCCGCCCACTATGGAATATCAAAAGGCACGGCAGCTCTAGACAGCCATTTATAGAGACAAAAGAGGATTATTACAACTGTATTTATAGGGTAGTCACAGAGTGTTTCACAAGGTAGTGCTAGAAGCACCGTGAGGGGGCGAGAAGCGTCCAGTCAAGGATGCTCGGCCTGGATTAACTGGCATTCTGACCAATCAGGATATGCCTTCGTTTGGCCCGTGTCCTGCACGTGACACATCCGTCCAAATGATGTGCTGTTCGGTTATTAGGGATGGCTGGCCTCCGAACACCAACCCTGGGCTCCTCTCCTTGTCCCACCTTTTTCTATCCTTACGAGGCTTTATCCAAATAAAATGACGTGGTTGTACCGTAGTGAACCATCAGTATTCTCGTTTGGTGTTGTTGTCAAGGATGAGGATGCTAATGATAAGTTTCAGGAAAGTCAGGTTCCTCAAGGTAACCACTGAATGCCTGGAATCTGCTGAGACCTCCAACTCCACTGGATGCTGACCAGACGGACAACACCCCATAAAAATGCAGCACACACTCGTATCAAAGGCAGACAGCGTGAGTCAGCGTGGGATCAAGGTCAGACAACGTCCCTTCAATATGCAGCTTGTGACGGCCTTGTAGCACATCTTGTCAGCGCGAAACAGCGTTGGACCAAGGTCCAATAAAATAGCTTGAGGTCGTTGCATTTTCGCGCTCGTGCTCGCTGGATCGCGATACAGCTGTTGTGTTCCTCATCGGCGAGTCTTTTTCCGGCACTAGGCACTGGAACAGCAGTTAGACCTAACA